TCTCTTAATTGATTTATGACTTTTGAACAGCGATACACTACTGTTGCCTTTGTTAAACTGATATAAGTTTTGCCGTTTTAAACAACCAAGACTTGGTCCATTTGAAAAGTCTAGTTTTGCTTAGAATTATGGTGGTTAGCTAGAATTTTCAACATGAATAATAAACTAATACGCTGAAAGTCATGCAAAATATCAATATGTTTCTAGACATTTGCATATCTTAATACGGTTTCCTATTTTGGACAGGCACATGAAGTTTCATCGTTTTAGGTTTTAAAAATGATCATTTCTTGGTAGCAATCGTTTACAGTAATTGAAGAAGTTTAATACTTTACACCAATATTAAAACATTCTGCAGTAAAAAAAATAATTCATCTCGTGTGCGATTTAGAATTTGGCATATGGTATGTACACTTGTCTATAAACCACCGCTAATTGACCTCTAGATGTGTTTATTGGTTTTATGGTGATGTTGGGTTGCTGTTTGCATGTTTCATAAAAGAAAGGCGGGACATTCAAACTCATAAGTCGAAAATTAACTGACGACGCCATGGTTTAAAAAGAAAAAGACCAACAGACAAACAACAGTACACAAAACACAAAACTAGGGGTGATCTCATGTGCACAGGAAGGATAAGCAAACCTGCTCCCTATGTGGAACACGTTGTGTTGCTCATGTACGTACAAACCCGGTAGGTCACATTTGGGGAAAAGGGGACGGGATTGTAGTTACGACAAAATTGAACATATCTGTCGTCATCTGTGAAACAGATATTCCATAACGGTCATCTAACTAGTGATGGCCACCATAAAATTTACGAAGGGATGATTTATAATTCACCACTTGGAACTCTTGGTTTAAAAGCTTCCTTGTGAACAGCAACCCTCTATCAAGGAAATGATCTCTTTGTCGTAAAGTTTTGTTTTCAACCAACCCTCATTTTCTAGAAGTAAGTCAAGATATGAGGCAGACCTAACTTTGTCCATTTTCGATGGGATAGATCCGTTCTACATAGTCACAACATTTTGAATTATTAGTGAGAGGACATCATATATATAACGGAATGTGAAGTTAAAGGATTCTCTCCGGGCATTCCGGCTTCCTCCACCAAATAAAACTGACAGCCACAAAATAGCACAATAGTGCTGAAAGTTGCGTTAAACACCAATCAATCAATCATATAAGGAAATTATGGTATCAGTATTATCAAATATAAGAGTATTGTAAAACAGATGTTTTCAAGTAGTCTATATAGAAAACGAAAAGGAAAAAGGCACATGGCATTCATGGTTCATTCAATTAAATTCAAAATTACCAAACAATATATTTACCTGGGCATGTCACCAATATGTACTTTTAAATGTTTACTTACATGAAATAGGAAATAAATATATCCCTTATTTTTGTAATGAATCAGCGTTTACACACTGGACAACTAGGATAATGTATATAAAACGTTGTATCTCAAGTGTCTGTGACACATATCCTGATCATAAACATGACAATATTTATTGTTTATCATATAATTGGCTATATTTTTATGAGCGGGCACTTATAATATCAAGGTCATACGTTGTAGTTTCTGAAAATTCCCCCATACAACATAATTATACATGTACTATAATTGTTTATATAATCTCATGTCATACATTATTTAAAAACCAAATATTTTTATAAAGAAATTATGGTATCGTTGTTATCAAATATAAAAGTATTGCAAAATAGATGATTTCAAGTAAACTATATAGAAAATGAAGATAAAGATACGCACTTCATTCATGGACCCTTAATGGGTTTTTGCAAGGGATCTTTAATTGCAGAGAACGTTAAACTCTCCCACTACAAGGCATCGGGTTTAAGGTATCAAGTTCTACCAATGCAAACGGCACTGCGTTTATATGTATTTATACATCCAATACGCTCCTTCAAAACGGCTCGTACTGCCAGACAATTGAAATCTTTGAGACTAGGTGTCTCTATACTACATGCATGCACAGATATTTTTATTTAATCACGTTAGTTCAAAAGTTGAACTATAGCTTTTGGTTCATGTACATATGTTTTTTTTTATTTACACTTAAAAACATACTGTATGGAATATGATATCACCACACGGTTTTTTAAGACTTTTTAATTTTGTAATACTATTGACATATAGCGAATCAGAATATTCTTTTTGAATTAAGGACAAAAGACGTTTTCGATTTTTTTTTTATAAAAACCGAAAGTATTTTAAATCAAAACCAAAGGGACATATTTTTAAGACAAAGGATGTAACCTTGAAAATAAAATCGATTATTGTGAAATGAACACATTTGGTTTCAAACTATTTACTTTGTAGACTATAGAATTCTGCTTTAATTTTTTTCTCTCTCTGATATATGACTTGCCAAAGAGAAGATGTTACAGGTGACACACACTTCAAAATTCATAAGTCCACAGCATCGACTAGATAGTCCTTCATTTTTGTTGTTGAGTGTATTCTAAAGTCGTCAAAATCTAGCCAAAATTGAATACCTTCTTGTACACGTATACCTTATAGAAACCAATTTAGAAGCTTTCAAATATTATTAATAATTACAATTTTGTATGTTAATATACAGTAAGGAGATGCGGTATGATTACCAACAATGAGACAATTGTCTCACATATAGTCCAAATGAAGAGGGTGTAAGCAACAATATGCCAACGTGTGGCCTACAACAATGAGCAAAACCCGCACCGTACAGTCAGCTATAAAAGGCCCCGACATGACAAAATGTGAAACAATTCAAACGAACAACCAACGGTCTTATTGATGACAAAACAATCAAGGAAAAACAAAATAGACAGACAGCAACCAACGACAACCACTGAAATAGATGCTCCTGACTTGGGCCAGGCTCATATAGAATGTGGCGGGTTAAGAACCATGTTTGTGAGGGCTCAACACTCCCCACCTGGGACAGTTGTGTAACAGCACAACATAACAACAAACTGTAATCAAAGTACTGAAGTATTGAACATCGGATGACCGCAAGTTCTTGTGGATGGTCACAAGCACTTGTCTCAGAAAAAAAAAATCACATCTCTATACCTGAAAGTGAGTTTAAAGTACATAGATATATTTTTTTCTGAGACAAGTTCGTGCGTGGATGATGAATAAATGACAGGGAATTCAACCTCACCGTAATAACTATTATATTGTAGTGATACAAATCAGTATACTCTAGTTTGTTGTGATATATTATATTAATATTTGTATATAACAGTTACATGTATATATAATTTTCATCCATTTGTATATCATTCTATTCTACTATTCTAATAATAGTGCAGTGCAAGTGCATGGTGGACACTCTTCTGTAATAATTCGATTTTTCTAATAATCCCGCAAAACGTTCTTGAGATATTCTTCCGCATGCGTTAACACAAATTTTCGGTATTCTTGATTTGTTATTGATATATATATTTCTCACGACAAAACATTTTCATATCATTTATCTTTGTTCTTAAAAATTATTTTCATGAATATTTATTGATGAAATTGATATATAACAAGCGATAAGGAATGATATTTTGCGTTCGGTTATCAGTCAAAAACGAAAGTCACGTGGGTAGAAATGTCTGTGGCAACAATACACCGGAATGCCCTCACGGTCATCCGATGTAAAAACCACAAAAACAAGTAACAAAGCAAAAAAAAACGATCTAAAAGTACCAATATTAAGTCTTGTTTCATTGCAGGGCGTCATGGCATTCAAAACATGTGCATATAATTTCAATGACGTATGGGTATGAATTCCTACACTGGTGAAATAGTTCTGTAGGTATACATGTAATTTTTTATCTGCATGGAATATGCAATTCCAACATCCGCAAACAAAGATAACGTTGATACTCTTTATTTTAAAGTTATATCGTTGAATGAGTATCTATGTTAGTCGAGATGTTAGTGTACGGTTTCAAATCCCATTCGTCATTACAACATAGTTTTCAATCATATTCATCATATAGTGATATAGGTAAATTCTCATCAGATATCACTTTATTTTTCACCATTCTGACTGGTAAGGTATGAACATAGATATAATAAAGATAAGAAGTGAATAAAAAAGAAACTCAGCAAAATTCTTTTGCACTATAAACACTTTTCACGTAGTTATGGTGACCAATTTCGATCTTTGTTGCCTTATATCCAGTGACAACTATTTCTTGCATGTTCAGGACTTTGAATATGTTAACAAATAATTGTTCCATGCAGATATCGGAATGCAAATTTAAATGGGTAAAGACTCAACTTGCTCTCTTTATGACAAGTCCTGTTTCTCTGCGAAAGATTAGTAAGAATTTGGCAAACTGTTATTAATTTCATTGAAATTCTCTCTGAAAAAAACTATTTATTGAATGTTTTACCTGAGATATTCAAAAATATACCAGCAATCGCTTTCATAACAAAGATAAACACAATTTTGGCCTTGCGTCAAACATCAATCCAAATTCACCAACGTACATGTATTTATGATAATGTTTAATCATTTTAATACACGTAGATAACATCGTTTTAACTGATTCATTTACACACTATATAGCGCACTTTAAATGGTAAAATATTCAAGGGTACTTAACACTCAGCTAAACATATTTATAGTCTTTAGATATCTCCATGAATAGCTAGTATTTTGTTGAATCAAATGAAACATAACATTTGTTTGTCAGCTTTGATGTATGACAATATCTCCCCCATTTGTTATTTGTACAATTATAAATGAAATGAGTAAATAATTAAAAAAACGTAGACTTGACAAGAAAGAAAGCTCAGACATATAGAAATAAAACCATACATATATGTATCAATAGTCTGACCGTGACCTACATTAACTATTCTATTAAAAGTCATAGATGTGAACATTTAATGAAATTATGTATGAACAATTCACAAATGAGCCAAACAGTTGTAAGCTTTATGAAAAAAGAAACGATTAAACAATGAAAAAATTATGTATATACATGTACTTACAATTGTCTACTTTTTAGATTCAGTATAGATAACTTTGGCCAGATTTCAGTACATTATTAAGTAATTCATTTGTCTGAATAATTACATATCACTTTTTGTACTGGCATAGGTAAAGACGTACAAGGAAGTTAAAATTTTAATGGGGTTACCAAAGGATAAATTTTTATACAACGTAAATCACATTTAAAGATTCCATACGAAATTTAATCTCAGGTTACCAATTCGTGACATTGCAATAACCGTCTTCAAGGATGTTTGGACAAAAAAAGGAGTCTTTACCTTCCTTAAAGGCGCAGGATTTTCTTAAATTTAAACCAGATTTGTTTTCTTTAAATCTCGTAGGCGAAAACCTGGTAGTAAAGAATATTACATTACCCATAATGTGATGTAAATATTATAATAAATAATTTTAGATATTTAGAGTGAACCCGGAAATAAGAATATTTCCGAAAACCCTAATTCGTACATTTTTTGAAAATGTTTAACATAAGTATTTATTATACTTACATCTGGCTTGTCGTCTGTTAAACAGTTACTAGTATTATTTGATTTCACATTATCATTATTATTATTTTTCAAGTTTTTTGGTTTCACAAGAGTTATTTTAAATATAAAGAACCCTACACGAGACTTAACGTCACCCCTATGACAGACGTGACTGCATACAATTTGTATATCTCGCTCAGTCAAATGGACATTCCAAGATGCCAGATTATAAGGCATCATACATTATCAGCAGTTTGTAAATGTCTTTTGTCCAATCAAAACCTAAATGACGTACCAAAATCATAAACCATCGGTAGATGTAAATTCTATAACAGTATTATATTGAAAATAGCTATGATATTAATATAAATTAACTATTTAGTATATAATTTCAGTTAGTTATTATTTCTGGTTCATTTTTGGATGAACAAATATTTTCTTTTTGAATTTAAAAAAAAAAGAAGCTAAAATCGTTTAAAATAGCTATAAACACAAAAGAACTATTAGACATCATCTACATATGACTGTAGAATTAGAACACACTGGAATTATTATCTAGTTAATCAAATAGTACAAAATGAGGAAATGCCGAGGATTATAGCCACTACAAAAAAGTATAACAACGAAACAGCACAATTCGTATAGTCTGCTAAAACGGTGATTGATTGTTGGTTGCTTAACATCCAGTGGCAAATATTTCATGCATGTTCAGGACGAGAACGTCAAATTAACAATAAATACAATAGGTAGGTCCTGCAATTGAGGCCGTACGGGATGAAGGTCGGGGAAATTTAGAATGCCACGGGAAACTGAGGGTATATTGGATAGGGACAGAAAGTTGCCTTGCAACAGGCCACCTACGGACCCCTCAAAGAGTTGTTGCAAGGGTTCTTAACGTGCAGAGAGCGTGGCACTCTCTCTACACGAGGCATCGGATTTAACGTTCCCATTCTGACCGGAGTTGGCTGTGTACTTGATACGTCCCGCACAGCCAAACGGACACCCCACTTTAGCAAGGATTTTACTGCCGGTTGGAAGAAGACCTGTAGTGACCATATTTCTATTCCCCAGTCACCCTTGGGGTTCTGCTAAAACGGCCCCAACATAAAAAAATGTGAAACAGTTCAAAAGAAAAAACCCATGGCCATATTTTTAACAAACAATAAACAAAAACAAATATGATAGACAGCAACCAACAATTATTCGTGTGTCTTTAAAAAAATATGAATAAAAGGAGATGTGGGATAAACACAACCGATATTTGTCTCTTCCTTTTGCGCTCGCGTCCGACGTTTTAATTCTTTTAAATGTTTTTAACCGATACTGAAAGCGTTCTGTTAGTACATGTGATTAAATAGGACTACTTTTGCACTTCAAATAAACACTGTTTTATCAACGAATACTTAACTTATTTTGAATTGCTATAGTCTGATCTTTTTAAACTATAAGTTGTTTTAAGAGGAGTAATTCTATAAACAATGAATTATACAATACAATGTTTTTATTATATCTACATAAAAATTTGTAACATAAGTACAATGTTCACTTTTATACACATAGGTTTCTTTGGACTAAACAAAACAGGATATACATGTAGATCACTATTATAGTTTGCAGGTCAAGCCGTACCCGAGTGAATCGCTTGAGAATTTCAAAAGTGGTGCATTAAACCTAACTTTAACCAAGGATTTATATAGTCTTACTATACAAATCCTTGCTTTAACACAATTTTTTTTTCTCGGGAAGTTTGGTTTTTAATGCTGTTCAGTTTGGTATTTAGAAAGTTCACGCACCAAAATGGTTTATTCATTTTGTGTTATAGGTTGGATATCAATAGGCTTCAATAGCATAGCACTGAGTTTGCAAAGTTTGTGGTGTCTTTTACTCTAGGCTCATTGATATCCATTGAGGTTGTTGTAGATGGTCAACAAAACCTTTAATAAAGTTGAGATAATTTATATTTTATATGTTATTACCGTCTATATTACGGAAAAGGAAATTAAACAATTGCTTAAGGTAGATTAATTAAGGTCTAAATTAAAATCCATAGAATTTTTTAATAATTTGCCAAAATGTTGTTTATATCATGGCTTTCTCAAATATTTCATAAAAAAAGTGTCGAAGGAATTTTATGGATACAACTTAAAAGTAAAACATCAAACTTTTCTATATGCTTTGCCGTTTGTTATTTACCGCCATGGGAGTCAAGCAGACCTAACGATCAGGAATTATTTTTCGATAATCTGCTTCAACAGGTGTATTGTAACCAAAATAAAGGCTTAACCGTTATTTGTGGTGATTTTAATTCCCGATGTGGCCGCAACAACGATTATATTGAAGGTGTAGATGATATCATTCCAAGGAATGTTATTGGTCAATCTGAAAACTATAATTGCGATCTGTTCGTAGAATTCTTGTCGGATATAAATTTTGCCATGCTAAATGGAAAAATCGGATGTAACGAATTTACGTATATCTCACCACAAGGAACATTGGTAGTGGACTATGTTTGTGTTCCTTATGAACAAATTGGGAATATTTTAGATTTTAATGTTGTAAAAATGTCAGATATAATCAATACTGTGAATCACTATCCGGTTAGTATACCAGATTATTCGCATTTAACCGGTGAAATTAGAATACCCGATGGTTCAGCATGCAGCATAACATGTGATACATTTGATAGAAATATTGAAAGTGCAAAGAGAAAATACAATGTAAGCAATATTCCCGACAGTTTTCTGAGTGATCAAGAACGACTCGATTTATACGGAGCAATAAATCGTATTGAAAATTCTATAAATGTAGATAATTGCGTTCAGTCGGCATACGATAATTTCTGTGCTGTAGTGAAAGACGAATTGAAAGACAAACTACCGGTCATTAACAACACCACCAATCGAAACAAACACACAAAATCTATGCACAAACCGTATTGGAATCAAGTTCTCCAAGATCAGTGGACCAACGTTTGCAAAAGTGAAAAAGATTGGCTAAAGTCAGAAGGATCAAATGCTCAAAAGAAAACATTGAAGGAAAAGTACTATTTTGATCGTAAGTGTTTTGATAGGTTGAATAGAAAATATAAACGGAAATACGTTTATAGGGAAAAAGAAAAGCTACAAGAAAAACTATATTTAACGAACCAAAAAGACTTTTGGAAGTCTATAGGAAAATTGGGAATAGCGAGTGAGAGAAATGAAAGTATTCCATGGTCCGTGATAGATAATGAAGGAAATATCAGAACAGATAAAGATTTTGTATCAAAACGTTGGAAATCTGACTTTGAAGAGCTTTTTAACAAAAATGACCATGCACAGCCGTCGATAGATGATAACGGAAATGACATTCAGCATGATGTGACGACATTGAACGATCCTATATCGCGAGAAGAAATTATTAAAGCAGTCGAAAGTGCTAAAGTGCGTAAAGCCACCGGTTTCGATGAAATACCCGCCGAAGTTTTGAAAAACCCGACAGCGGTTGAACTTTTATTTGTTATATGTAATGGATGTTTTGAGTTGGGGAAAGTACCGGAACAGTGGACAACAGGGATTATTAATCCGATCTTTAAGACAGGATCCGACGATAGGAAGAATCCTATGAACTATCGTGGTATTACTTTAGTGTCCGTTCCTAGCAAACTATACTGTCATGTTTTAAATTCACGATTGAATGAGTGGATGGAAGCTAATAAAACTCTATGCGACGAACAGAACGGTTTTCGTGAGAAGAGAAGTTGCGAAGAGCATATGCATACGCTACATACTGTCATCAATGACAGAAAGATATCGAAACTTTCTACTTTTGTGTGTTTCATAGATATGCGAAAGGCGTTCGACTCCGTCCCTAGAAATCTTCTTTGGTATAAAATGTTTAAAGCTGGAATACGTGGAAAGTTCCTTACCGCAATACAATCTCTGTACGATGATGTTAAATGCTCCGTTAAAGTTAACGACCATCTTACACCATGGTTCAACGTCGATTCGGGGGTTAAACAAGGATGTTTGATGTCACCTAGTCTTTTCGCGGTGTACATAAATGACCTGGCCGAACGAGTAAACAACTTAAACTGTGGTATTAAGATTGACGATATTGCGTTAAGCATACTATTGTATGCCGACGACATAGCTGTTATTGCACCGGACGAACATAAACTACAGAGAATGCTAAATGAGGTTGCATCTTGGTGTGATGACTGGAAACTTGAAGTCAATCGGTCGAAAACCAAAGTAGTGCATTTTAGAAATCCTTCGATAGCTCGGTCAGACTTTGATTTTTAATGTGGAACTCACAATTTAGAATATATTGACTCATACAAATATTTGGGACTATGGTTCGATGAGTTCTTAACCCTAGAAAAATCAGTTACAGAACTTTCTAAATCAGCAAGTAGAGCTTTGGGAGCATTTTTTGGTAAATTCATAGCGACAGGTGGTATGACCTGGAACGTTTACCAAAAACTTTATACGTCGATGGTAGAACCAGTTTTATTCTATGGTAGTGCCGTTTATGAGTAATTAACAATGTACAGAACAAAGCTGCAAAATACTTTCTTGCAGTTGGGAAGCATACATCCAACACAGCGGTGCGCTGAGATCTTGGACTAACATCGTGTTATACGAAGCAAAAACTA